AGTTTTAACCAAGCCCACCTCCACCCCCAGTAATATTTGTTTGAGATTTCTAATTCTTGATTTTTTTTTTAATAGCCTTAGCAGTTATTGAGTACAAAATTTATACTCAATTTCGAAAGCATTCATAAAGTTCCTAAAATATTACTTAGTAATGTACAAATTAAAGAAATTAATCAACTGATGAATCGTGGCTCTGAAATATAATTTACACGTACAGGTACATCATTCATTGCTTAAACCAAAAAAGCGAAAATGCTCAGAACTGTATAAATACGACAGCATACAGAAAATATTTATCTTTTAGTCAGATTTCCACTTTAACCCAATAGCACTGAATAGCATTTTTATATATGGTTTATATAAATTTAAAATGTTATAAAAACTCCTGCTATACAAACACTAGATCTGACATCTGAAGTGTTAATTCATTAATATCTCACTAATATGTACTTTATTCACAGTACACTACAGTAGCAATAATACAAAAGCAGACAATATAATTCACGGCAATAAATTTAATAAATCAATAAATGAAGAAACTTCTCGCTGACAAAACTTTTTCCACAGCCCAATGTGCAAATGTTTGCACACTGTATTTCAAAACCTCTTACTCTCAAGTAAGGTATGTTTTGTAATATAGATTTTGAAGGCAAAAATTAACTTGGTTCCAAAAAATACTTGTTAACAATGTTTAAACACTGAGAAATGTTATTTTTCTACAGGGGTCCTGTGTTTGGCTGTACTTTTGGCACTCTTTCCTCATGCTAAGTCCCACATTAAGTATCTTAATCTTGCAGAAATGCACTGAAGCCCTGAAGAATGTGTGTGTGTGTGTGTGTGTGTGTGTGTGTGTGTGTGTGCGTGTTTGAGAAGTATGGCATTTAGCCTGGCACTGGGCCATCTGCAGCTGAGCAGGAGGTCTGTGTATGAGACCAAAAAAAGCTGGAATACTGTAGAAGACTGAGAAAGAGCTCCATGTCCTATTATGTAGGAAAAAATCCCAGAGTGAATCATTGTTGTGTAATTTAGTCATACATATAGAGGTTGGGGACAACTGTGGCATTGGGAAACAGGAAGTAGGATGTTGACTGTGGCTATTTACACACGGATAAAAATAAGAATCTTCACCGTTTGCGTTTAGTTGAATTACTGTCAGTTCCTACATTTTAACTTCTTCCTGAATAAGAGTTACCAGCAGTCTGTGAGGGAAGGGAAGGGGCTAACTAGCGCATGTGGGTGCGCACGTAGCTTCTGGTTTTAATCACACATTATAACAGTTAACCTAATGTTAGCTAGCTTACTGATCTTAGCAGTGAAACTTAAGCGATTTGAAGAAGTTTTTACAAATCTGAACATATTCAACATTTTGAGAAAATGACTCCGAGCATGTTCATTTGTTGATGTTTTAGCGAGAGCAGTTCTTCACAGAAATCCTGTACGCTTCTGTGTCTGTGTATATGTGGCCTAGTGAGCTTGTTTCATGGGACTAATCAGAATAATGCTATGCTGATTAGCACAATGATTAGCATTCAACAATGTCCAAAATGCTAAAAAAAAAACAGCTAACACCAACATCCCAATAATTATATAGCCTTCAGTAAGGATAATAGTATGTTAGCACAGCTAGCTCAGTTAGCAGTATAGTCCTTGTTAGGTCAGCTCACTCAGTTAGCATTTTATGCTGCATTTGACTAAAGCTTTTTTCCAGGTTGCTTGTAACTAGGGAAAAAACAAAGAAAATGGCCTCTCAACTTGGAATTTCTACTAGGAGGGTAGTAATTCCAAAAAGTAGTATTCACTAGGTGGAAATGAACGCCTTTGTGTATCTTGGTTCCATGGTGTAATGGTTAGCACTCTGGACTTTGAATCCAGTGATCCGAGTTCAAATCTCGGTGGAACCTTCTTCAAGAGTTCTTTATTTGCTGTTGTACTAAAAATCCTCTCAAAAGGAGATCTGTGTAAGGGTTTAATCGCCAAATTCTAGTCAAGACCAATGTCTTAGTGGGTGAACAATTGAAGTATGGGGTGATGGACATGTCATTCACATGCTTACAGAAAGAGAAGGGGCTTGTAGCAGAACTAACATGGGTAATGATCATGGTTCTGTCTTCATCTCAAAACTGTAAATGAGTGATTACTTGCATCCGGCCAGAATAGCTCAGTGTCAGACTGATCCTCTAAAGATCTAAAAATAAATAAATAAATAGACTGATCCTCTACAGATTGGTTTATTTGTTTGCTCATTGACACTACACATATGGAGTTCACGTTAGCTAGCTACATAGTTTAACAGCAGTTTGATGTGACGCAGCCAGAAACAGTTGGTCTTGTGCCAGTTGTCCAAAATAGTCCAGTTCAAAGAGTCAAACTGAAGCTTTGCAGCTCCCTGGTTCATGCTTGCTCTATATAGCTCAGTTATGAGGGTGTTATGTTGAACATTTAATGGTCCTTGGTTCAATCCTGTGTTTCAGCAGTGATGACCTTTCTAATGTTGTGACCTCATAGCCACTGGTGTTGGTAATAAGATGAAAATGGGCTAATCTTCCAGTTTTTGGTGAATACAGTAAAGCCTGTTGGTTGTATTAGCTGAAATAACTCAGTTAAAATAACTTAATTTTTTTTCACTAAAATAAATAAATAAATAAAATATCAAATAAAATAATAAATAAATAATAAATAAATAATAAATAAATAAAAATTCTCTTAAAAGGATCTTGCACAAAGTAGGGTTTTGTATGCCAAATTCTAGTCAAGATGTTGATGACCCAAGTCTACGAATTTTGGTTCAAGATGTGGTTCAAGAAGTCCTTGTTTCCATTGTCCAAAATAACTCTTTTTGGAGAGTGTTAAACTGAAGCCCTGAAGCTCCCTGGTTCAAGCGTGATTTATGTATGGTTTAGTAAGCCAAAATTATAAAGATGAATATGAAACAAGTTTCCATTTTTTTGGTTCAGCAGTGAAGACTTTCTTAATATTATAACTTCTTAGGCCCTGACATTAGAGATAAGTGCCTCCTGCCTGTCTTTCCCAGCCGAAATAGCTCAGTTGGGAGAGCGTTAGACTGAAGATCTAAAGGTCCCTGGTTCAATCCTGGGTTTCGGCATGAGTGATAAGAGAGCTTGTCTGATATCAGTCATTATTTGCTTGTATTCATTAAAGAGAACCTAAACAGTAATGGTTAATGCCCTAGATTTTAAGACCAGTGATCTGAGTTTAAATCTCAGTGGAACCTGTCAAAGGTTTGCTCAAAGTTCTTTTCTACTATAGAAAAATTCTCTCAAAAGGAAAATCATGTAAGGATTTCATTGTAAATTCTATTCAAGACAAGCATTACGTTTGGTGAACAAGTTAAGTATGGAGTGATGGACACGTCATGCATATGGGGACAGAAAGAGAAGGGGCTTGTGGCATAACTGACATGGGTAATGATGATGTTTCTGTCTTCATCTCAAAACTGTAAATGAGTAATTGCTTGATTTTGGCTGGAATAGCTCATTTGGGAAAGTGTTAGACTGACACTCTAAAGATCCCTGATTTAATCTTGCTCTATGTACTCTATGTATGGTTTAGTATGCCAAAATTCTAGTCAAGATGAATATGGATCAGTTTTTGGTTCATACATTCATACAGTTTTTGGTTCATACAACAGAGAGATTTTATCCAGTATACAGTAAAAGTCATTGTGAAATGTTCACAATGTAAAATTCTTTTCTCTCATATTGTTCTTATGGGTGGGAATGAGTACATTTATTACGTCACTCTTCCGCTGTATTTATTTTCAGGCAGAAATGTTTTGCGAATCCTATCTTATGTACACGTATGGACTTCAAACATTTTAATCACATGGTCTGCTATCAAAACTTATAAATCAATGAGAGATGAGAGGACGAATGAAGCTATGAAAAGCACCTGCTTTTGTCTCTGCTGTTATAGCATCGTCTTTATCCATTAGCCTAGTGGCATAGAGCTCTATCGTTTGATTCCATCAGTCTCACAATGATTACATATTTTCCAGTTAGGACAATGGGGTCAAGACACAGTTGTGTTCACACTACAAATGTGATGTGGCCATTTGGGTCCCAGACCCCCTCCAAATGTGGTTCAAGTGATCGGATTACAATGTGTCTTTGAGACACATTTGACCCTGTTCACACCTGTACTTAGCGCTGATCACCCAGGGCACATGTTGATGCCAAGTGTGAACAGGGCCATAGTTAGCCTTCTGGACTTTGAATCCACTGATTTGAGTTTAAAACTCTGTTTAACCTGCAAAGTATTTGCTTAAGGTTCTTTACTGTTGTAGAAACATTGCCTTAAAAGGATCTTGTACTTGCACAATGTAGGGTTTTGTACTCCAAATTCTAGTCAAGATGTTTATGGACCGAATTTTGGTTCAAGATTTGTAACTCAGTTTGGAAAGTGTTAAACTGAAGCTCTGAAGCTCTGACTCTTGGTTACATGGTGTAATGTTTAGCGCTCTGGACTTTGAATCCTTTGATCTGAGTTCAAATCTCGACGGAAAAAAGAATTCTATGGCAGATTTGTTGAATACAGTAAAGCCTTCTGGGCCTCAGCCTTAGCTGAAATAGCTCAGTCAGGAGAGCATTAAATTGAAGCTCCCTGGTTCATTCGAGCGTTATGTATGGTTTAGTAAGCCAAAATTCTAAAGATGAATACAGACCAAGTTTCTGTTTGTTTGGTTCTGCAGTGAAGACCGTTTTAATATTTTAACTCCTTACTCCCTGACATTGGAAAGTGTTGCAGCCTTGGTTCCATGGTGTAATGGTTAGCACTCTGGACTTTGAATCCAGTGATCCGAGTTCAAATCTCGGTGGAACCTACAAGCCCAAAGATCTCTGCTTTGTTCCTGGGTTTCAATGGCAATCTCCCTAATATTGCATCTTCATAGTCCCAGACATTAGTGATAAGGCAATCCTGTGTGATACTGGTCAGTATTTAGTAGTATTCAGTAAGTGGAAACTAAGGGTTAGGAGTGTCTTGGTTCTATGGTGTAATGGTTGGCACTCTGGACTTTGAATCCCATGATCTCTGTTCAAATCTCAGTGGAACCTCTATAGGGTTTGCCTAAAGTCCCTTTCCAATTTATAAAAAAAAATGTTCAAAAGGAGATTCACATTAAAGATTTGATTGCATTTTACAAGCATTATATTTGGTGACCAAATGAAGTATGGAGTGATGGACACTTCATGCACATGGGAACAGAAAGTGAAGGGGCTTGCAGCAGAACTGACATGGGTAATGATAAAGTTTGGGTCTGTCTTCATCTCAAAACTGTAAATAAACATAGGACATCAAACACGACGTGTTAAGTTAGTGATCTAATGTCACGTAGCAAAAATGTAACCAACATTTTTTTGTTTTTTGGATCAACACACATAAAAATACACAGAAACCTGGTCTTCATTAAAATACTTCTAAGTATTAGGTCATAGTATAATTTGAGACACTTAAATGAACATTATTGAGTGATTAATGTGAGAAATGATATAAGCTTATGTAAATGCTTTGGGAATAATTAACTTGATAAGGCAAATTGAACAAGAGAGAGAGAGTCTAATACAGTATGTTGCTGTCAGTGTGGTATTATAAAGTGATTTGCAACCATGACACTCACCAAAGACAAAGTGGACACAAAGCGAGGATTCAAGTGGACTCCTGCTTTTGTCCTTTTCACTCAGCTAGCGCTTGCCTTGTCGGACCTTCTTCTGAAAAGCTACTGCTAGCTAATGTTAGCTCAGTCGCTCGGAGTAGCTATTATCAGCTATTATCATTTGTAGCAGAATTGCTTTTACAGATTTGTCTACTTTTGTGCACCTTGTTAACATACGTAGCATGTCTGATACGGGTGTTCACTGTTCAGTGTGTTTAAGAGTGTGGTTAACTTTCATATCTGGCCATGAAGTGCAAATGAACCACTTTGTACTTCGGTTTAGAAATACAGATTACCTACTGTATGCTATATAATTTATGACAACATTGTGGAAGTGAAGAAGACGATCTTGGTGGAGATAACCTCTGTACAAAGTGCATCCTGTGATTTAAGCTCAGATTAATGAGGACTCAGTGCCAGGAAGACAGAAGTTTGGAGGGGAAAAATCAGACAAATGAAATCCATCTGGTGCTGATTATCAGCACGCAACAGCAGGAAGTCTCTCTGCTAACTTCTCATAGCGAGCTCTAATCTGTTCCAGTGTCGGAGGTAAACAGTGTGCATTTCTGGTTTCATCTTTTTTTTTTCTTTTTTCTTTTGCTGTCACAGCATCCCATCATGCATGACTAGATGAGGAAGAAGTGATCGTTTGGCACTGTAACAAGAATATCAGAGCCTTATTCAAGCTCCATTGGCTGTCAATTATGTTCTGTATTGACTACAAAGTCCTGCTTATGATATTTAAAGCTCTGTATGGTCTAGCGCCAGTGTATCTTGCTGAGCTCTTGAAACTAGCCCATCCAGAGCACTTGTTAGGATCCGTGCACGAAGCTGTGTGTGTTGTCACACTAACGAATAGATGTATTTCGAAATGAATGATGGCAATCGAAACAAAGCAGACTGAACGCTGTGCTCTGCAGAAAATAATCACGATGAGGAACTACAGCATCGACTTTACAGGTAACCTGATAAAACATTTAAACATAAACCTCAGCATGAGGAGTTCATTTCTAGCAGCACATGCCAACAATGAACATATATAGAATGAAATAAAGTGTTTCATGATGTCCCTGATTGCCTAATATTAAGTAGTTTACTAATATCAGTACTGGCATAGACAAGTCCCAAAACACATGTACTCATAATTGTACTTAAACTTGTACTAATTATTATTAGTAGTAGTAGTAGTAGTATCATGAACACAGTCTTAAACCTACACAAGTGTTTAATAGTCACAAGAAATGAATCTAAGCAAAGGAGATTTAACCTTTAAACTTTGTGGCTTATATTTCATATTTTAGCATAAAATCACATCCAGACTTATTAGTCATGACACATAGTTTTTGTTCATATCTATGTAAATATGAATCCTTAAAAAATACATTATATAAAAATATACATTATATAATTCAAAAATAATCCAAGATATGTTAGTAACAGTATGTAGTACTATGTACGATGCATAGTAATTATTTTGCAGTATAATAGCAAGAAAAGATCATATTTATCATAGAAATTTAATCTTAATTTATTAGCTAATGATGACTTGGAGGTCGTGGAGCTCAGTAGGATTATGGATACTTGTTTAATGAGATGAAAAACAAAACACACAACTGCGCAAACATACAACTATACAAATGACAGTGTTTAATTGTTGGAATTAAAAAAACCACACACAGTATATCAGTTCACAAAAGGGTTTTAAACAAACAGTAGCAGAGTGAAGATACAAAACTCATAAAACTCATAATAACAAAACAAAATGGCTGCAAAATATAGTATGTCCTCCATATTTACAAAAAACAGCAATATTTCCATCTCGAGAAATAAAACACATTTAAATTAAAAAAAAAAAAAAAAAAACAGACAGGAAATGTGAATGTGACCATGTTAACAAACACTATTAAGGATGATTTCTGATGGGTCTGCTAATCTCACAGGAATGCATAAAGAAAAATTGATGTTATAACGTCACTTATGCATATCACGTCCAGCCTAATTATGTCCCAATCTACCCATCATACATACACAGTTTGCCCTGTTATGGCTCAAACGTTTTCCTATATTTCACCTTTGTTATAATAAAAAGGGATGTATTAGGAAGAAGTTAAGCAGAATCCCAGTGAGTGTGTGTGTGTGTGTGTGTGTTCTCAGTAGACTTCAAAAACAGTGCAGGTTCTTTTACACACACACAGGAATTGTGATAGCCTATGTCTTTTTTGTATTTAAATGTAATGGTGATGTTTTTCCAATAAGAATTCAGAGAGGGTGTTTGTGTGTGTGTGTGTGTGTGTGGGTGGGTGTGTTCAGAGAAAAGACACTACTAGTGTGATAGGATACTGAGTGCTCCATCTCTCTCTCTCTCTCTCTCTCTCTCTCTCTCTCTATCCAAGTCCCACTGCAATTACCTGCAGCACAAGAGGGAAATAGATAAAGGAAGCAAAACACAAACACACACACACACACACACACACACACACACAAAGAGGTTAAGTTAAATCTACAGTGAACTGTTTGAGATAAGAATTTTTCCCCCTACAAACAGTTTTCTCAATAAAGTTCAATAAAAGATAAGGACACACGAGCACGATCATTGCTGTAGGAAGTAACACAATCACCTGTGTGTGTTTTGTGTTGTGATTTAATCACACTATAAACACACTCAGACACTCACGTCTGAAAAATGCTTAGACAGGAATATAATAATAACACGAAGAAAGTGAAGAAGAAAAAGGAAGCTGTTCACTGAACACTGTAATCTTCCATCATCTTGTCAGCTTGTTGTTTTTGTGCATCTCATATTACAGACAGGTTTCTTATCTTTGTGTGTGTGTGTATATATATATAAATTTTATACTTTAGACTATATACTTATTAAAAGTTCACTGATGAAGGTTTGAAAATTTGGCCTTTACAGCAGCTGACCAATCAGCAGCTTCGATTAAACTCACACTCATTATAACTACACACTCATTACAATCACACACTCATTACAATTCTAACACACACTCATTAAAACTACACACTCATTACAATCCTAACACAAACTCATTATAACTACACACTCATTACAATCACACACTCATTACAATCCTAACACACACTCATTACAATCACACACTCATTACAATCCTAACACACACTCATTACAACTACACACTTATTACAATCCTAACACACACTCATTATAAATATACACTGTCTTTTTTCTTCCTTTGTTTCTTTCTTTGTACTGTTCTTTCTTTCTTTCTTTCTTTCTATTAAAGAGAAACATTTTCAGCTGAGATTGGAAAGAAGCAATAGAAGTGCAGACTGTAATCTATAACACACATATTACTCACAGAAGTGTGTTCATGAAGGATGCCTCTGTTTTGAGTCCATGCTGATGTCACTCCCTGCAGGTGAGTATAAAAATATAATACATCTCTCCTTACAGCATTTAAATCAGATGGTTTAAGCTTTACTGCTGATTGAAAAAAATAGAAGAAAAAACAACAAGAACACAAGCACTAGTCTGAGAACTTAAACACTAGTCAGAAGGCCAGAGAGACTGGGAGTACACAAGAGGTTCCTAAAAGTTCCTGTTTATCGATTTGTGAGAGAATGGCGACGCCTGCTGGCTATAATTCTACACTGACATCCATTATTGTTCATCCGCTTGTCTCATCTTCTGTCCTCAGGATGATCACACAACACAGTGTAGGAGGAAGTAAGAAATAAACCAGAGTGAGAGATTTTACCTCCTTTTATCATCCATTTCTCAAAATCCTCCATCTCCAGCTCCATCACAGAGGGCATGTCGTCTTCAAACATGGGCCTGAAAGCACACACACACACACACACACACACACAAAAGACATATTTGGTATTTGGTATATCTGCATTTTATGTACTGTAATATGAATAGAATAGAAATAAACACTTTGGAAATACTAAAGGTAAAAACGTATGTAGTATGCATCTTTTTTCTCTTTCTTTCTTTTTTTTTTTTTTTACATACGTTTAGCGTGTATCTCGAAAGGTGCATGGTGTGCACCTATAAAGCTTTACTCTAAATGACCACTTTATCCATATTTCCAGGTGAAAGATGCAAATTAAAGGTACAAAAGATGACCCTGATACAGAAAGAAGAGTGTGAGGACTTTTTTTTTTTTAAAGATAATTAGACACATATGCGTGCAAACACACACAATGTACAATCTAGCTACATGTCCTGTTTTGATGCCACAAGCAATATTTATAGGAAATGCCACACTTCCTCAAAGCAAGTACTTTTTATAATTGCATCATTTTTAGGGAAACAGAGAGAAGTGTTGTGTTTGCAACCACTTCCTGTTTGCCTCATTATTACTTCCTGATTTCTGTGTTCCGTTGTTCCTGATCAGTGCACCTGTGTTGTTT